CCCCGACCCCAACGTCCGTCCCACCCGCCAGAAGATCATCATCAAGCAGAGCGTCCCCACGACCTGAGCCCCCGGGGCCCGCGGGGGGCTCGTGGCCGCTGCGGGTCGCGGCCTCTCCTCGCTCCGACTCCCGTGGGTGACGGTTCGTTGCTCTATTTATCTCCTTCCTGCCTTTTTTTTTATAAAAAAAAGAAATAAATCGGAGTAGCCTGCGTACAAGGGTGCGAACTCTCATTTCCATTCAAGGTGCAGCGCCTGCAACACCAGGAGACCCTACAGTAAACACAGGGTGCGTACGACCCCTTGGTTTCTGAGAGACCCTACAATAAACAAGCGGTTTGTCCCCAGGGCTGCTGCTCTCAGTGCAGCGCTGCCACGGGAGCCCTGATGACGGTGGCCCTGCGCACCCCCCCAAATGCGATTTTGGGGGCTGGGGGGCACGTGGGAGCCACGTCACCCAGACGGTCTGGGGGTGAAGGGGCATGAAACGTCCCCCCGGGGGTGACAGTGGGGTTCGGGGGTCTCTGAGGGGCCCCAGGCACGAGGTTCAGCCTCTCCCCGTGGCCAGGGCACCCCAAGGGGTAACAGGGAGCCACCGGGTCACGAGGGGCCCCCCATCGCCCCCGGGGTGCCCCCGCCGTGCCGGGGCACTGGGGTGGAGCCGGCGCGGGGCTGGCAGGGCTCGATAACGCCCGGGGATATGTGATCTCGCCCCTCCCCGCCGCCGGCTCGCAGAATAAAATGCTGATCTCATGCCCTGCGCGGCCGGAGCCCTTGGCTCAGCACCGGGGCTCGCACCCAGGCAGGCTCCGCCGCCCCGGCCAGCAGCCAGGTAGGGCCCTGGGGTGGGGGTCCCAAGGGTGGGGGTCCCCGGGGTGGTTGTGGAGCACGTCACGCCCGGGGACACAGGCTCTGGGCTCCCTGGGTCTGTCTGGGGTCCCGGCTCCGAGGGATCCCCACCCCGCAGCCCCCCGGCTCTCGCCCGTGGGTGTCCGGTCCCTGCTGGGGGCACCGGGTGCGTGCGTGTCCCCCCCAGCCCTGGGGACCCAGGTGTCGGGGGGGAAATCTCAACCTGGTTCCTCGGGGGGGACCCGACCTCGGTGTCGGGGGACTCAGGTCCTCAGCGTTTACCCCTGCTGCCCCCCCGGGAGGCGGGGACCTGTGCTGGGGGGCAGAGGGGTGCTGGGGGGGGGCCCAGGGGTGCTGAGCCGGGCCCTGGCCCCAGGCAGCGGGGGAGGCTGGGAGGGACGTGGGGTCCTGGCCCTGGGGAGCACCCGGGAGCCGGGACTCAGTTTTCCCAGGAGCTCGCCAACCACACCAGCCCGGCCCCCGCCCTGGGGTGCCCCACGCCCCCCAAACCACTGGGAACCCAGTACCACCCCGTGGCACGGAGGGGTCCCGCAGGCCGTGGCGTGGGGGGTCCCCTCGCAGTGTGGGGCACCCCCCCACCCTG